ATATCGTATTGTATGAAATTCCTGATTTATTTTAACCTAGGCAGTTATTTTGATTATGTTAGTAAACCGGGACAAAGTGTGTCATAGTTTCGTTTGTCTTTACAAAAAATATGTTTAAGATGTGCAATGTATGGAAAAAATCATTGAAGAGAAACTTTTTTTTGTTTGAAAAGACTGTATTTGGTGTGTTTTTAAAGTTAGTTCTTATTGCATCCACTGTTAGTGAATAAGGCGTCAAAAATGTCTTCACTTTCTTAGATTATTTTTACAAATAAGCTCTATGTAAGTCTTTATGAAGATTTGTTGACACCTAAAGTGAGCACGCTCATCCGTGTATTTTATGATTATTCTCAATTTTCATTATTATTTTTGATTTGAAAACCATTTCATCGCCTTTTGAAAAAGGGTTTACAACTTCAGAATTTAAAAAAAAAACATTTTAAAATACTAAAAAATTGGAACAGTATTTTCAAATGAAGATAGATTAAATTATGTCAAATTGTTACATGACATGTATAAACTGGTGCTGGTTTGACATTACTGAGTAAATTATGAAGAGAAAAGATGGAATATATATTTAAAAATTTATTAGCTACGTGAAAAGATTTTGAAATTATGTGCAATATATATTAATTAAATAACGATTACTGGGATTCTATTTACTTCTAAACAAAAATAGGCTTTATAGCGTTTTTAAAAAGTTCTTGAAGGTGCTTATTTTCAATTTTCGTTTTTTAAAAGCGATGAAAGGTGCTTTTTTTTATTGGACGTTTTTGAAAATCTTTCTTTTTCGAAAATAAGAATTTGTTTTTCTTTACCATGCTGATTTTCGCCACGTATTATGCAAAAGCGTGTTTTTCGCATTGTTCTATTCAACGTTTTCACAAATCATTCTAACATAATGCAATTCAGCGTACCGTCTTTCCGTAGCGTATGAAAGCACCAATCATTTCACATGTTTGATTAAATGCTTGCAGGTCCGCGTGAGCATATACTGAGCTGGATTCAGTGGGAATTATTCTTGCACTATCATGTGCAACTCTGATGCATTTTGCGAGAGATTCTCAATTCATTTTGCTGAAATCAAACCGAAAAATCTTTCTATAGTGGCTAATGTAATCAAGAAAAAGACTTTGTCAATAAAAATTCTTTGTCAGAAACGAGTTATTTTATCATGATCGTGTAAAATTATTTTGCATTTTGTTAATGTATATAGTGCTTAACAATATTTTTATATTTTTTGTTGAAATATTTGGCTCGCACACTGCAGTGACCCGCATAAAACCAAAAAAATATTATTTAAAACAAAAAAATTTTTAATGTAAGAAATTTTATCTTAATTCAAATAAAGTTGATTTAAACCCTAAATATAGTTTTAAAATCATATTAATTTTTTTTAATGTTTTTACATCTGTTGATTAACTTGTTGGGTTATACTGAACCACTTAAACTTTTTTGTTATCATTGGGGGGTTTTTTCAGATCCTTCATTATATTGCTTTTTATACTCTTTCCTTGAGAGTAATTTTTCTGCTGCTAACTGTCACAAAATTAAATTTGTTGTCAAGTTGGTAAAAGCTATTTTAAGCAAGTTTTTAAAAACTGATAGTAATTTTATTGGCAAATATGAGTCTGTTATTACAGATTTCTTATAAATTTACTATAAGTAAGGTGTCTGCGCCCCTGGAAAGTCATGAATTTCGGTATTGAACAAAATTTGTCATGATTTTAACTATTTTTTTATTTTAAAAATCATTGAAAGTCATGGATTTAGGTCGCTGAAAAATCTAAATTTTAAAATGGAGCTTACCCCCCCCCCATTTCTTCGTGTTCCGAATATCTGAATTTGTAACAAAATCCTCACTCACAGTCATATTTTATTAATTTTTATCATGTTCTTTAAAAATTATGGTTTTCTTTCAAAAAATGAAAGAAAAAATATTTCTAGAGTGAAGTATCTTATAAACTTCTGTGGTTTCAGAATTTTTGTTATTATTTATTTTGTTTTATTTTATTAATTTAAAATTCTAGCTGAAGCAAGCCAGTTATTGGCGAATTTTTTCTTGTTTCGAAATGAAAACAGAAAAATCGGGAGTATTTCTTTCCTTCCATGAACAAGAAAAGTATCTTTAGAATATAATTCTACAGAAAAAGAACAAAAAATTATTTGCTTTTGTGTTTTTTTCAGCTATTTTATTGTTTCAACTCTTTCTTTATACTTTTTTTTCTTCTTAAATTTAAAATCTATAAATATGAAGATGCAGAGTATAACAGTTTTGATTATACTTACCATTTCAATTACTGTTATTATAATGTTTTTTTTTAATTTGTTGTTCTGTTTTTGTCGGAGAAAATAGTAACTTCGTTATGTCATGAAAAATTCTTGGAATTAGTCATGGAAAGTCATGAATCTGAAAATCTAGAATATATTAAATACCATGTCCATTTTAAAACAACTGAAAAAAATTTTTATGTGAGCTTTTTTGTGTATCTTGCTATTACATTGCAATTAAGCGTAGTCAGAACTTATTTCATTTTTTTTTATTAAACGTTATATAACAAAAAAACAAAGGAAAAATCATAGCCTAAATGAAAATATTATTGCTTTTTTTTTGTAGACTGTTGGTCTGCTAATCATATTCGTTTCTGATAATAACCTTTCTTCAGAATTGAGTTATGTTTTTGTTTTATTTAAAAAATACTTAATCAACAAAGTAAAAATGAGATTTGGTTTCTTATTTAAAAAAAAGAAAGAAAGAAAAAAAAGTACTGGTTTCAAAGATGAGTGTGCTAGTATCTTTAGGTGGAGACAGTCTGAAAAAAACATATCAGTGAAGATTGAAAAAATAAAAAAAAAAGCATATTGTATGTAAAGATGACAAACAATTTGTAGTAGTGTTTATAGAACTTTTTTCACAATCTTGTCGATGTATTTTAATATGCGATCACAATGTTTCAATAAAAAGTTATTATACACATTTCTCAGAATCTTTATTTCTAATCACTCCTAGAAATTTATTTGAACGACTATAGAGTTGCATCAGTTTTGAAAGGAAAAAAAAAGAATGGAAAGCAGTTAGAATTTGAATTTAATAAAATAATTATTTTATTAAAATTAAATTCTAGCTTTCCTTTTTTTTTTGTATATANTATTGTTTGTATATATATATATATATATATATATATATATATATATATCAGAGATGATTGTGCTCCGGAAAAATCCAGATCTTTTGCTAAGTGCGATACGGAAATCCAAGGTCCAGAAGTTTCAAGAAATCATCGATCACATTTGTGTGTGCAAATTCTTGTATATTTTATTTAAAATTTTAGAACTAGAATTTATGCTTGGCATCTCTTTTATTTGTAAATATTTTTTTCTGGTGGAATAATAAATGTGATTAGAGATAAAATTAAATTTATAAAAAAATTATTAATTTAAATTATGCTGCATATAATTTAGTTAGAATTTCATGTTTTGAAAGTATCGATGATTTAAAAAGACATTAATTTTTTGAAATGCGTCGTTAAGGAGTTTAATCAAGAAATTTTCAAGACTTGTTAGTTGGGCTCACAATCACCCCTGATATATACAGGGTGGTCCTAAAATATATGTCAAAAATGTAAAGGTATGCAGAGGGGACCTAAATAAGCATATTTCGTATAGGATTGTGTGTGCGGTAATGCCGACTTGAGCAGAGGTAGGGAATCGAATTTTCTTCTGTCTTTACTACTCTTTTTCAGTTTCCGTTGATTCATACTACTTTACAAGCTTGTGCTTGAATGTGCCATTACCGCACACACATTCCAATTCGAAATATGCTTATGCTTGTGTTTATATATTTTGCGTTGGCTTTATTGATACAATATTAGAAACTTTTTGCTGATATAATCCTGTGATCTAATGAAGAACTTATATCTTTCTTTTCTTTTATCCGCAGTTTTATTAATTTTTTTTTTTAATTTTCTTTTCTTTTTGTATTTATTTCTTATGCTATATATATATGTATGTACAATACAGGTCAAAAGTTTAAACTCACTCGTGAATTTTTAAAAAATGAACAAATAATGAGGTTTTTTAACTGATAATCTCACCAAATTAACTTTATTTTGATAAAGGTGATATATATGAAATTGGAGGCCTGTTAGAGCTGCACTGTTCAATCTAGTAATTGTCGGATTTAAACTAGATATTATATGGTTTGGTTGTATGCAATATTTTCTGACAAGTCATAGATGCATTGCTTTTTTTTTTCTTGAAAAAGTCAAATCTCCCAGTCTTAACATACTAGTGAGGTATAATCGGATTGATAATTTAGATTTTCTGTGAAAGAGGAGTTTCTATTTTAGATGACAATTTAAGAAAATTATGCATGTCATTCAAATTTTGATACCAGGCTCACTGTAATGAAGGCCCTACTCAAGGAGGGAAGGGATTGTTGAGAATTCCATCAAATTCCTTTCCACAAATATTGTGCTTATTGATCAGCTTCTTTTTTTTTTTTTAATGAAAATTGCTGTTTTTATATTAAATTGTTTTTTATATAAAAACTACGATTTTGTCAAAAGGGTCTAACAGAGAGGGGGATAGCCTGGTTGGTAGGGCACTGGACCCCTGTCCAAGAGGTCATGGGTTCGATCCCCCCCCCCCCCNGAAGACACCTCGTGTTTTAAATGGTGACTCGTGCACGTTAAATCTATCGAATGGCAAATTCCTCCATGTTCCCATAACAAATCATGCCTCTGGGGTTACTGATCCAGGAGTTTCCTTGCCTTCTGGATTGGTTCAAAATTACGAGATTACGGAGTTGAACATTAGTAGTCGTAAACCCAAAATTAATTGGGTCGGCTGTTCAACGACGGTTATAAAACATCAGCTTACTGAGCCGCATCAACTTACCGAGTTACTATTACTTATCCAACATCAGCTTATGTTGGATAAGCTGAGTAAATAAGCAAGTTAGAACGATGTTATTGTTTAACAAAAATACCAAACAATAATTAAAAATCACAAAAATGTTTTTATTTGAAAAGCTATGGGCAAAAATTGTTTGACGAATAGATCTAGAGTTTTATGAAATGGAGTCTCTTGTTGATGGAAGTGTTCAGGGTAGAAGAGGATGATTAGTTCTTTGATTTATTCATCGATTCGAGTTCTTGGAGTACAGCTGAATCAAAAGTACCGCATATATATTTTCCTGGACTGCTTGGATCCTGTGAAACCCAGAAATCATATACCAACTCCCGGAAACGGTCTGACGTCATAGCATTACCATTGGACCTGTCTTCATCCTTTAAGAAGACACATTTATTAACCATAAAAAGTGCATTATAACATAATACTTATTTACTGCACATGCTATATCATGTTGTTAACCTGTTTTACATGTAAACTTCCATATACTGCTGATGTGGTATAATAGTTACAATACTGCCCCCAGAAAGCATATAACCTTGCGTCAGAATTTTATTGTCACGAAAATGTTTGTACTAAACACCTTTTTTTCAATAAAGTAAAAATATTGCAGTTTCAAACCTTTCATCCAAAAAGGATTAAAAATTATTTTTTTTAAAAAGTCTGGTCACATGGGTAAAATGGTCACTTAGGTCATTAATGACGTTTTAGCTGACGTCACACTAGCGATAGGATCAAATTGCATTGTCCATTGAAATTTCATGACTAGGTGGATTATAGCTGAGCATACAAGACTTTGTGAAAAGAAACATTAATAATGACTTAGATTTAAGATTACTTTCATCTTGAGACTAGCTTTATGAAATGATTTTTTCAAGCTTCAAAAACCCTAAATCAACCTCGATTGAAGATTTTCATATCGAAGGTTGTTGTCCAAAGGTTTTGGATGAGGGTAATGTGCGTCGAATAGAGCACATGGTCACAGATCTCGTTTTAAAGTTAGGTTAACACGTAAACCGCATAACAAACCATTTTAGGTTTCCATTAAAAGGTTTTTGCTGAGTGAAAATAAACCTTATTTTGTTACCTGGACCTCAGTATCTTTTTAAATTAAAAAAACATAAAAATAAAAAACATTAATTAGTATTATTGAGACTCGGTTCATCTTAACAAATTAAGGTATCATGAGATGTTAAAATACATGATATTGATTTCAAAGTAGAACCTTAAACTGATTTTTCAAAGAGTGAATATTGGCTAAAATGTGCTAATTGTGTTGATACCTAAATCCATTAAATGAATATATTCATAAACCCAGCGTGATTTTGGCGGGGGCACAATTTCTGTTTCAATGAAAAATAGTTTTTGTTTAGTTTAGGTTCGGTTGGTTGATTTAGGTATTTTAGGTTAGGATGGCTGACTGAATGTAAATAACAAGCTTCCTATAGTTTGTCTAATGTAAGAACTCCCCTTGACATTCATCTGGACCCGTGGCGGTTATTATAGAAATGAGTTATAACTATTTCAAGTAGGGGTGTGGGGTCACTGTTTAGGATATGTTTTGGCCTTTTCTTCGGTCTATTTTGTTAGCCGTAGAATGAAGAGAATCTACCCTCCCTGAAATGCGCTATTCTTGTTGCCATTGCAGCAGACGGTCTGTGGCGGGAAGAGTTCTTACAGTAGACAAACCGGAAGAAATTTAGAAAACTTTGTGTGTGTGTAATACTTACGAGGCAGTATATGAAGGAAGTTTTATTATTGTGTTTATATTTACGCGTAATTCTTTATAAGAGTTTTCTGTAATTTATAAATTCTAACAGGTCGTTAGCCTAAAACGATTTTAAGAACATGTATATTCATTGTAAGGTTTGCCATGTTTTTAGTGTTATCCCTCATTTGGCTATATTTGTGTAAAGTATCGCCGTTGGTTATTTTTTGGGTAGCATCTTTCAAATTCATTTGTATTTTGTTTCGTTGAAGGTTAAATTGAAAGAATCTGTGGGAAGTAGTAATCGAGTAACCCGAATGTTTCACGTCGAATTTAAACTCTCAGCGCCATCTGTGCTTAACTGTCAACCATTCATACTAATATATATAAAAGAAAAATACTCAGAAAATATTTTTGGTTAGTTTAATTTTTTTAATCAGTTATTTTTCTGTATTTATTATTCAATGCTTTAAGTTAAGTATGATTTAATGTTGACTGAGAGTAAAAATATGATCTCAAAGAGTTAATTTGTAATTTTATGAACTTGGCAGGTTGTTTAAACTTACATTGATCATGGTTTCAAAGCAGTCCTTAGCTCTTGTTACATCCATATCATGACTTGCCAAATACTTTTTATAATCTTTCACGCAAAACAATCCATCCTCTGAAAAAAAATATTAAAGAATTTATTAACTTACTAGTAAATATTTTTGTCTCACTGAAATATTTTTTTTCGAACATAGTTATCGAATTTTAAATGGAGATTGTAAGGTTGAATTTCTTTCAAATTTTCACTGTATTTGTTAAAATTCGATGACTAATTTTGATAAAAAACATTTCAATGAAAAATAAAGCAAAAATTATTCAGTAAGGTATTTCCCGTTAACAAGGGTAAGTTATCCCCTGAGCCATCACGGCTCAGGGGATAGAGCTTTCGCCTTCCAATGAGTTGAACTGGGTTCGAAACTCAGCGATGGCTGGTCGATACAAATCCGCATCTGGCTTGCACCGACCGCAGTACTGACGCTGATTATCTTCAGTGATAGACGGATCAGGGGTTAAGAGTCCCTTTGCCGTCAGGCTAACTGTGGGAGGTTCTCGTGGTCTTCCTCACAATGCAACGCAAATGCGGGTTGTTCCATCAAAAAGTCCTCCACGAAGGCAAATTTCTCCCAGTGGTTAATCCAGGAGTTCCCTTGTCTTCTGGATTAGGTTCGAAATTAAAAGGCTACTGAGTAGAATATTAGTAGTCGTAAACCCGAAAATTGGGTCGGCTGTTCAAGAACTGTTATAATATAAAATAATTATAATAATAATAAAATTAGCAAGGACATTTTTTTCTGTCTGAGGAGCGTAAAAAGTTTTTAAAAAAAAGGTACAGAGGACATTTGTTTATTAGAATTTAATTAAAACTAAGTTCCTATTTATTTTAATATATTAGATAACTTCTTCCAACCAAGGGATGGTGAAAAGGGGATATAATTGGAGTTTGAATGTATACCAATATGTTACGTAAATCATGAAAACTAAATCAGATTATTCTGGAAAAAGTCAGAGAATTGTTTTTATGAGTGTTTGTTGGCCAATTCTCTCAAATTGCGTAGTCTTACTTTTTTCTTATTTTTTATAACCATCGTTGAACAGCCGACCCAATTATTTGAATTTACGACTGCTAATGCTCAACGCCGTAACCTTGTCATTTTGAATCCAATCCAGAAGACAAGGGATCAAGGATCGGGAGAAATTTGCATTCATAGAGAACTTTTTGATGGAACTAACCCGCATTTGCGTTACATGGAGAGGAAGACAGCCAGAAACTACCACGGTCAGCCTGACGGCAAGGGAACTCTATTCCACGATATGTCTACCACTGGGGATGTTTCACGTCAGCATTGTGGTCGGTGCAAGCCGGATATGGAATTCGTATTGATCAGACATCGCTGGGATTCGAACTCGGTTCACCTCATTGGAAGGCGAACGCTCTATACCCTGAGCCATCGAGGTATGTACCATGTATTATTGGAAAGGTTTTAGTTTAATGAATGAATTGACCATGAAGCATAGATTGTAAAAATACGAGCAGTCGAACATTCGGGCTATAACGTTTTTACTTTGCATACTGTCATTGATTTATTTAAAAGCAATGTTTGCAGTGAGGTTGGCAATAAATAGAAAAAATGTTTGACACTTTAATGTTTTTCACACACATAAGAGTCGGCAATTTTATAGTAACTTAATTTTCCCAGTAAATAAATAAATGAGTAAAAAAGGCTAAATATTTTTTTCTCACAAAATAAACGTATCGCCAATTTAGTTTTAATAACAAAATGTCACAAATATATCTTTATTTCGTATTATACGCATTACGAAAATGTAAGCATTGCTTAAAAATGTGCAGTTGAATGACACAAAAACTAATTAGTTTTCGACAGAATTTCTGGGAAAAGAAATATAAATATTGGGCTATTGCATAAATCTGTGGCATAAAACCAGATTATTTTTATTTGTTATTCACGCATTTTAATTTAGTCTTCATATTTTCATTAGAAAAAATCATTTGTAATATTTTTTTATTCAAACGAAAAGGCTCCGCCCCTACTCATTGACCATTTTTTTTTTTCGTTTAAAGTCACTATTTTACATAAGAGCAAACAGCATTTTGAAATCAAAATAAAATTATTGTATTTTTATAAAAGAACATTTTGTCAATGTGTTAATTGTAACGAAATGAATGACTACCTGGAATTGAAAAATAATCACCTAAATTTGAAAAAATAAATAAATAAATAAATAAAAAGAAACTTAACCGACTTTATAAGGGTTTCGTAGTTCTCACGGTTATAGTTACAGTGATAAAATTTTGAAATTTACAAACGGCAACACCCACTTTTTTTTTAAACCGAAACGTAATCAGAACAGTAAAAAACCTAAAATGCAGTTTGAACGAATTTTTTTTTTTTTTTTTTTTTACACAAGAGTTTACAACACTAGGTTGTTGCAAAAGGTCGTCATCTTTCACGACTACTAACGAGGAGAAAATGTGATTTAAAAAGAACTTTAAAAACGCAGTAAAAAAACTACCATTTAATTCTCCCCCTCTTTCTCATACACACACTCACTCTTATGACACTCTCTACTCGATAGTGGTCGAAAAGATGATTTTGACAAAAACCTATCGTCGTAATGCTTTTATCCTCAGGTAACCCGGGTTTGGATCCTAGAAGGAAAAAAAAATTTTCCTGGAATATTTTTTTTTTTTCTTTCTGTGGTGGATACGAATTCCGACTGAAACAGATTAATTTTAATACCAACAGATGGCGCTCAGACTGAATGAATATTAATGTTTTTTTTTATTTTGTTTCAGTTTGATTTCTATAGCTTTGGATGGAAGATGATCGTTTATGTAATGTCCGTCCTCTTCTTATTAAATTTGTTTTATCATTAGAGTTCGTTCCCTTTTAAAAGCAAGCGATGCAGTATCGAAGTCTGAAGTAAAAAAATAGAACCAGGTAGGAAAGAATATACTTCTACTCTATTTTGACACCGACCCACCACAGTGTTGATGTTAAATATCCTCAGTGGTAGACGCATCATCCTTTAGCCGTCAAGCTAACCGTGGGAGGTTTTCGTGGTTTTCTTCTCTAAGTAAAGCAAATGCGGGTTAGTTTCATCGAAAAAGTTTCCACGCAGGCAACATTTCTCCCAATACTTGATTCAGGTCTTCTGAATTGAGATTGAGTTCCCTTGTCTTCGGGATAGAATTCAAAATCGCAATATTACGGAGTTGAACATTGGTAATCATAAACTCAAAATTGGGTCTACTGTTTAACGTCGGCTATAAAATAAAATAAAAGTACATTTAATGTTTTCAAAATTTTTGATGTGCCCATATAGATTCTTCTCTGTTATGGTTATTATCAAGCAGTGGGAAAGAAATCCATTTTTTTTCTTCTGAATTCGAAGTTTATTAGTCAATTTGACATTTGTCGAAACTTTTCAACTCCAATAGAGAAACAGAATTTACTATGAAAAGTTAATCCAGTTAAACCTTGTAACTCGTTTTGCTACAATAATAGAATGAACTCTTTTTTTAAAATGTTAACCTTTTCGTTAAGTTACTTCTGTCATAGCCAAGAAATAATAGAATCCTTGTTCTGTCTGCCTGACCTACATTTCGCTCATATAAAAATGATTCTCTCTTGTGCAAGAATCTCTGTCATTTCAGCTGTTGGGGCTATAAAAATAGAACTTAACCAGATGGAAAATGACTTTTCTATTTGTTTTTCACAAATAATATATTAGCTCTTTTTTTGTTATCTTATAAATAATTTTCGATTGTGTCTTATTTTTTTTCCCATTTAGCTAACAGTTATGAAATCGGTAACCGTGAATTTAAGAACATTTATATTTAAATATCGACAATACGTTATTTTTCAAGACTTATCGTTTCCTGTCTGATATTTAAATACGTTTCTATTTCATACTTTCTCTTTTACAAAATTTTCCAATTCCAAATCTTTCCAATTCCAAAATTGGATTGGGAAATTTCCAATTTCCCAATCCAATTCCAAATTTTCTTATTTTTTTAATAATTGCCGTCTCTGTCTATGCATTTGTGTGTGTCAGTATTTGTACCCCCTTTTGTTTTTGAGAAAGCATTCATCCTTATCTTTTCCTGCTACAGTTTTAATGGAACACACCCGAGCGTCTAGCTCTTAACTTCCTTTTTCCTGTAATAAAATAATGTTTGACTCGAAGGTGATTCAGCTCCGATGACCCTATGAAGGATGAGTCTCAATGCAAGGACATGACGGGGAGTTAACATGGCATGGGCACACTATGCTTGAGCATCTTCAAAATTCAGTTAAATAAAAAAGATCTTTCTGTTTTTTAAATAGTGTAACAAAAGTGTAGTGTATTATAAGAAAAAAAGTTTTTTTTTTTTCAATTTAAAAAAAGGGCTTGGTGTAGCAGTGGGCAACAAATGGTCGGAGACTGCTTGCTATTTTCAAATTTTCTCTAGCACGAATCTAATGCGCTTTATATCCAAAGCATAATTTATACATACTAAGTGATATATTTATTATCAAAAAATATCAATATTTAACACTACGTCACGATATCTTTCCAATTTAGTTAATTGATATTATTTCTACACTGGTCAGAGTATTTTCGTCCCGCAGTGGACTGATCGTTAAGACACGCTTCCCAACAGATCACCGAAGTCAAGCATCACTGGCTGCGGTCAGTGTGCGGGTGGGTGACCACTTGGATTAGTCCGTGAGGATCGAGTGTGTGCGGTATGGGTCCTCGTTAAACTGTTCGGCTGTAAAGTGCTCGACTTCGCGTGCAGGTCGTCGGGCTACCGAAGCGGAGGTGCCATCCCCTCTGCAGAGGATCAAAATTGTGATGGCATGTCTTCGGATCATCCTCAGGGATGTTTCCCAGACCGTCGCCAATAGCCCATTGTGCAGTTCTAGTGCTACATAAATGAACTACAACAACAACAACAGAGTATTTTCGTAACTCAAATAAAATGTACTCACAATAATATCGTATTGATTAATTATCGTTATATTCGTAATATTATCTTTTTGACATTTTATGTTAATGTTTGGGATATTACCGTATAGATTGTACTGTATTCTCAATATGTTTAGTTATTGCTAAATATCGCGTATAGGATTATAGATGTGTTATTGATTGCCAGTGACTGGTATAAACTACGATCTTCTTATATGTTGGTTCATTTAGCTTCCCAGCATCCGATAAGTACCCAGAAAATAATTTTGAGGGAACTCAAGCAAAGATGAGCGATTAAATTTCAAAATGGTCAGGTCACGCTATTAGTCGAAAATAACGTCATTACTCGTGAGAAGGGAGAGGGTTTGGAAAATTGCTGAGAATTTATCAGTTATACAAGTTATTTTTTATTACTATTTGATAATTTATAATTGATTTTATTACAGTATCACACACAAGTTACAACAATATCTTCAAACGTGTTTTTTAGACTAATATTTCAAAAAATTAATTTAATAAAAGAAATTATAGAAAACAGTTATTCCATTTACTGATTTTTTAAAAAGAATGTCAAGAAAAATACTAACTGTGGTACTTAGATTATGTTTTTATAAGACCACCATAAATATAAATACTGTTTTTTTATTTTATTCGGCTCTGTTACAAATGCTGTAACGTATAACGACTAAATAAATATTAAGTATTAAAATTGCTCAAAATAAAAATACTATTTACAGTACGTCCAATTTTGTGATGATTCCCTTCATAAAAATAAAATTTAATATTAAATATGGGTCATATGTTATCGACCATGTCAACCTCTATCTATAAAAAGCTACCCCAACATAGAATCGAGTTAACATGTCTTATATACTAGGGAATTGGAATTGTATTTTTGTAGTGGTAGGTGCACTACAGCCAGTTAGTGTACCATCTCCCTTTCCACACAAAGTGATGTCATTTTCGACCCATAGTGTGATCCGGCCTCTTTGAAATTTAGTCGCTCATTAAAGAAAACTGTGAAAATTTTAATTATTGTATGGATGATTGACTGAATGTAAAAAAATAACAAGCTTTCTAAAAACGGAAGAAACTTAGAAAACTTTCGGTGTATCCCTCCGCTTTTGTTATGCTTATGAGGCGATGCGTGAACAGGTTTAATATTCTAGGAAGTTTTATTATTGTGATTTGAGTTTAAATTAACGCATACAGTTTTCTGTAACTTATAAATTCTAACAGATCGTAAGTCTAAAACAGATTTAAGAACATTAATATCCCAGCATGAATAAAGTTTAAGGTTTGCCATGTTTTGTGCGTTATTCCTTATTTGGCTATATTTGTGTAAAATAGCGCCGTTCGTTATTTTTCGGGTAGCATCATAGCAAGCTTGCGAAGTCTTCCGAATTCATTTGTTGTTTTTTTTCCGTTGAAAGTTAGATTGAAAGAGTGTGTTATGCTGAAAAAACACTACAAATGTCATAATATTGGGGAATGCGTTTTTTTTCTTCAAGATAAGGCTTAAAAATCAGTCTGAAGTAGTAGCTACCCTGGAAATCTTAAGACGAATTTTAACCCCCCCAGCGCCATCTGCGCTGGGGCTTCAAAGTCAACAATCCATATATAGAGCCGTGATGGTTCAGGGGATAGAGCGTTCACCTTCCAATGAGATGAACCGGTTTCGAATCCCACCAATGGCTGGTCGATGCGAATTCGCATTCGGCTTGCACCCGACCACAGTGCTGACGTGAAATATCCTCAGTGGTAGACGGATGACGGGTTCGAGTCCCTTTGCCATCAGGCTATCCTTGGGTTGGTTCTCGTGGTCTTCCTCTCCATATAACGTAAATGCTGCTTAGTTCCACCTAAAGGTCCTCCACGAAGGCAAAATTTCTCCCAATACTTGATCCAGGAGTTCCCTTGTCTTCTGGATTGAGTTCAAAATGACAAGGCTACAGAATTGAACATTAGAAGTCGTCAACCCGAAAATTGAGCCGACTTTTCAACGACGGTTATAAGAGAGAGAAAAATAATAATAATAAACAAACCATTCATATTCGTCCAGAATGAAAATAAAATAAAAAGTAGTTGACTATTAAAATAAAAAGTGGCTAATGGTTAAAAACCACGTTTTTTAAGATATATGAACTATTGAAATTTTAATGATTTATAATTTCGTCAGAAATAAGCGGGTTGGTATTTATCCCACCACCTCTGAATAGGTTAAAATAAAATTTTTATAAAAAAGGTATAAAGATACAAGCGAAAGATTAGTAATTAAGATTAATTAATTCTCCTTAATCACAATATGCAAAATAATGTGAGAGTTTTTACCAAAAAAAAAACAACAAAAAAAAAACACTTACTGTTTGAGTCCATAATGAAAAAGAAAAGTTGAAGGTAGGTCTGCAGAAAATCTGGCAACTCTTTATGAGATTTGGTCTGTTGTCCCAAATTGTGAAAGAATTTGAGCCACTCATCAAATTCCACTACTGTATCCTGGAAAAAATATTATGTTTTCAATTTATTTACATTTTTAGGCAAAAATTAATTTTCTTAATTCTATAGTTTTGACATTGAATGTTGGAGGGGGAAAAAGCAGTGGTAAAACCCAGGGTAAAACCTCCTTAAGGCTTGGTTTCTTAGGACAGGACGCCGTCAGCTGGAAATCAGCGTTAACCTCTGATTGGTCCATTTGTGAGTTTGATAGTATACGTCATCGAACGCTCATCTTGAACTACAATTGCCGTCCAACTCAACTGCAGTTGGATTACAACGTGACGTTAACCACAGAAGCAATGGCGGACAACATCCAACAGCGCATTGAAATCAGCCAAGATTTTGATTTTGACATTAAACATAGCTTCTTCATTAAACATAGCACTCTTCATTTAGCTCAGCTGCAATGTGTTTTTTCTTGGACAAAGTCATTATTTGTTCTCTAAAACACTGGTCGACAATAACAAAATCAATACAAATTCAAAATAAATATTTGTTTACGTTATTAACGCATGCGCAATGAGAGAAAATGTCTGCGTTGGGCCGACTGCTCACGCTGAGCTAACAAAAAAGTATTTTTATGGCGTCAGCTCTACGTCAACTTTCCGCTGACGCCCAGATAAGGTGCTAGTTCTAAGAAACCAGGCCTTGAGCTAACAAACCAGTATTTTGTTGGCGTCAGCGGGACGTTGACGTCACGCTGACGCCCAGATAAGGCGTTTGTCCTAAGAAACCAGACCTTTACTGAGAGGGCGCTGTGAGCGCATCAACAAGCAGTGAACATGTAGACACGGAAGTGTTAAGTTGTATTAATCCTTTTTTCGTTATTAAATATTTGTTTCCTTATATTTGATTTGATTTCGCCGATGAATTATTTTGAACTATTGACACAAAACCACTGAACCTACCTTGATGTTGATTTGAACACGGAACAAGCAGTTTACGTAATATTAATCTAAGTCAAATGAGTTTTAATGTACGTAGTTGCAGTTTGTGCAACCTTAGTTAAGTCATACGTTAGGAAGTTATTCGTAGATCTTTGCAACTTTAGTTAAGAAGTTATTCATTAATCTTTGCAACCTTAGCTAAAAAGTTATTCATAAATCTTTGCAACTTTAATTAAAAAGTTATTCGTAGATCTTAACACTTTCTGTCCCGAGTCCCATTTATTATAAATAAACAATTTCGCAGAGGTAAGCTTGTTGTCAAACGAAATTTTGTTTAACATCTTGAGACCTAGTGCCCCACCTATTGGAGAGAATATATATAATTTATGATTTAATTTTCATTTTGCAAAGCGTTGAAACATAATTCTTTCTCTTTCACTTCTTTTTCTTAATTTAGATTTATTATTTGTTTATGTATTTTATGGTAACCGTGATATATTTTTGTTTTGAATTAGTTTATGTTCTACATGGCTTCATGCCTATCTTTGTGTTAAGTAAGAAATATTTAGTGAAAGAATTGAAATCTTTGTGCAAGAATATTGAATGTATCACTTAAGAGAATTGATGCTTGATGGGCTTGGCTTACTCGAAATAGAATGGAAAAACGGTTGCTAACGTAAACAAATACCACGTTTGCATAACCAATCAGCCTCGAGATGCCCTCACCATGTCACTTGCAGGTATCCCATTGAAAAGAACTAAAAGGTTAATTAAGTTTAATAAATAATTGAGTTTTTTTTTAAAAATATTTAATAGCGTTTATGAATTTACTTTCTTTTAAATAGCGTATTTCTTAATAAAAAATATTAAAAAAACACACATTTTTACTATTATTTAAAGTTTCGGGTCTCAAATCTAACGGGGATTTTTTTTTTTTTTTTAAAGTTACCATTTTTATTAAGGCTTTTAGGCTATTCATTTACTATGGAAGATGCAGATATTGTTTATCGCAATGATATAAATACATGTAATGAAATTACATCGTTATAACTTTTCCATTTCTTAAAAAAGTTTAAAAAATTTTCGAGTTCTTTAAAAGCATGGGTGTTTACATATCACGCCTTTTTTAATTACTTCATGCCTTCGTTAATTAAACTATATCACGCGAATACGAATTAAATTAAAGAATTATTTTTCATTGTCCATATTTTTCATTTTATTTTTAATATTTTGATGTAAATATTTTAATCTAGTATCTCTTAATCTAGTAAGATTTAATTTCTAGTAAGATTACGAGGGTTGTATTTTAAGTAAGGGCCGTTTGAAAATAAAAACCAAACGAAAGAAACTTTTCATAAAGCAAATTTATTTTTTGATTCAGCATATGCTTCTCTTTTTTTTCGAAATAGTTGTCAAGTTTGCTTTAACACTTCTCATACCTTACAACTAGATTTAGAATACCCCCTTCATGGTAACTTGCCGCCTGCTCCTATAACAAAGAGGTCACGACCATTTTTCACGTCTTCGTCATCGTTGTGCTAGTTGCCCCCAAAATGATATTTGAAACATCGGAGAAGATGAAAATCACTTAGCGCAAAATCTGGGCTGTATAGAGGGATGGTCCAAAACTTCCCAGCCGAAGGAGTCCAATAAAGATCGGGACTGAGATGTGGAGAGAGTCATTGTCATGGAGTAGCAAAATTTCCTGTCAGCATGCCAATAGGAGGCTTCGTAAACTTCACAAATCTGCTGATGAATGTATGCAGCAGACAGGTTTTTTGACGACTAAAAATGCATCAATGACCGTGATGGCTCAGGGGAAAGAGCGTTTGCCTTCCAATGAGGTGAACCGGGTTCTATTCCCAACGATGGCTGGTCAATACTGATTCTACATCCAGCTTGCACCGACCACAGTGCTGAAGTAAAATATTCTCAATGGTAGACGGATCATGGGTTAGAGTGCCCCTGCTTTCTGACTAACAGTGGGAGGTTTTCGTGGTTTTCCTCTCCATGTAACGGAAATGCGGGTTAGTTTCATCAAAAAGTCCTCTACGAAGGTAAATTTCACCCAATACTTGATCCAGGAGATCCCTTGTCTTCGGGATTGAGTTCAAAATTACAAGGCTATGGAGTTTAACGTTAGTAGTCGTAAACCCCAAGAGTTGTGTCAGCTGTTCAACGACGGTAATATAAAAAAAATATGACCGTATCGCGGAAAAAATACGCGTAGGGTGACTTGGTAAACTTGAGCATTTTAAAGACACAGAACTAACGGTACAAGTTACCAACACAGCTGCAACTGAGCACAGTTGAATGACAGAACGTAAGGGATGTAAGCACTCGTTGCGATGCACGCGTCACATATCAGTATATATATATATATATATACAGATAAAATTTGAATTAGTGCTCATTTTTCACAACTTTTCAATTGAAAGAACACTTAATTATTTCATCATTAATTTAACACGTAAACCATATTAATGCCTGTTCTTAAAATCACCCTNTATATATATATATACACCGAAGAGGCAATACATTATAACCACCCTCCATCTATAACAATGAGCTCGCCCAGGTTTTCATGATTTCTCGCCCAGGAACAATCTTTTCTTGGGGCACATTAGGACCCATAATCCTCATAGAACAATCCCTGACGTCTGTTAGCTACTTGAACATAGTTGCAGACCAAGTTTACCCATTCATGGCAGCAGTTTTTCCTGCAGGGGATGGTGTTTACCAACAGGATAATGCACCAAGTCATAAGGGTCGAATCGTCATGGATTGGTTCGAGGAGCATTCTAGTGACTTTCAAGTCATGTCTTGGCCCCCAAATTCGCCTGACCTTAATCCAATAGAACATTTGTGGTCCTACTTGGAAAACCAAATTCGTGCTGCCACGCTACCCCCTCGCAATGTGAGGGAATTACAGGACCAGTTGGTGAGCGTTTGGTACTAGATACACTATCTAGCCATTAATGACCGGACACCCCTTGAACGGTAGGTGGACTCGTCCTGGCGGAATAAATATGGAACCTGTGGTGGGGGAAAGACCATTCGCAAGCAGGTGACGGCCAATGGAGCGTTAACAGTGAAAATGAGTGGACGGCGAAAGCTGAATGAGGCGGAAAGGGGCATGATCATAGGCGCCCACCGATTTGCTCATTCCATGCGTGCCATCTCCGACAAGTTTCAGATATCGCGATCAACAGTTGGTGACGTCATGTTGAAATGGGAACGAGAGGGAGTGATAAAACAGCAGTCCCGACCCGGCAAGCCCAAAATAATGTCCGACAGAGATCGACGATCTCTTCGACGTGTAGTGAAGGCAAACCGAAAGATGTCGTTGGACACTGTCGCCACCAACTTCCGGGCTGCATCTGGCAGTGTTGCCAGTACACGTACCATTCGTCGGGAGCTGATTGCACAAGGATTCCATGGACGAGCAGCAGCACATAAGCCAAACATCTCATCTTCAAACGCCCACCACCGATTTCAGGGGAGCAGAGCACGTCGCCAGTGGACAGTAGAGCAATGGAAAAGCGTTATGTGGAGTGATGAGTCACGCTACACGTTGTAGCACTCTGATAGACGGGTGTGAACCTGGCGAATGCCCGGAGAACGGTACCTACAGGAGTGCATTGTCCCCACTGTGAAGCTCGGCGGTGGAGGAATTATGGTGTGGTCATGTTTCTCATGGTTTGGCCTTGGACCCTTGGTGTTAGTGCGTGGAACCCTGAACGCAGAAGGGTATAGAGACATCCTGGACAATTCGGCGCTTCCCACCCTGTGGCAACAGTTCGGTAATGGCCCGTTTGTGTTTCAACACGATAACGCTACCATTCATAAAGCACATGCCATCACGGACTGGTTTGATGACATGGGGGTGCAAGAGCTTGACTGGCCATCCCAAAGTCCCGACATCAATCCAATTGAGCATCTCTGGGATGAGTTGGAGCGCCTGTTGAGGGCCAGACCACAACGCCCCAAAACCACTACTCAACTCTTCGTCATGTTACAGGAGGAATGGCGGGCAATACCTGCCGCCGTGTACCAACACCTAGTGGATAGCCTTCCTAGAAGGGTTAAAGGTGTGATTCGGGCGCATGGCGGCCCTACGCCCTACTGACTTGATACTAGCACCTCATATATCCGAAATGAGGGGTGTCCGGTCATTAATGGCCAGATAGTGTACCTCAGACTACCTATCAGCACCTTGTGAAATCAATGCCACGGCGGATGCTAGCAGTTTTGAGGGTTAAAGGTGGTGCTACATGTTATTAGCAGGGTGGTCATAATGTAATGGCTCTTCTGTATATATATATATATATATATATACA